TCCGATTAACACTGTACGTACATGTATATATATTTATTAAACGTGCTATAAATTTCTCTTAATACCAATGTAATCCGTCCCCGGATTATGAAACTGTTGAAACCTTTTGGACTAAACTCAATCTGGTCTTTTAGATTTTTATAACCTAAATAGATATATGCGTGCACAAATATAGTGATCCGATAATGTAGTTATCCAAGAAGTTATCCATTACGTACATGCATAAATCGAAAATTAGAACGAGAAGAGGATGATATATATATATATACTCGTAAAAACATCGTCTCGAGAATCAAGAATGATTAATAACCAATGAGAAATATTAATTCTATGATGATTTCGTTGAAAATTTCTCCAAACAAATTTTCGAGGTTTTTTTTGTAAAATTTAAAAAGAAAACGAGAAGACAAAATTAGAAAATTCATCGATCGATCACATTACGTTGCTCGATTGTTCGATATTTATGATTGATATTTTTAATGTTCGATTTACGATTTTAGAAAGGGAAATCGCGAAATATAATGGAAGCCGGAAGTCGATGCTCGAAATGTCTTTGCTCGACTTCGCCATATAAACGACACCGCAACTTTATAGATGGAACAATCTACGTACTACGTGAATGTGCAATATAGGAAGTGGAAGTTTTTTTTCCCTTTCTTCGAGATTAACAGAAACGATCGAATACGTTCCTCCATTTTTTTTTTTTTTTTTTTTTTTTTTAATATTCGTTCGTTCCGTGAATTCATCCTTATTCTATTCCTTTTTTCTTTCATTTATAATTTATCAATACATCAATACGTCAATTTTACGATTTTACCGTTTACCTTTCGTTATTAATTTATTACCATTATGTTTGCTAGTATACGTTGTAATTTATTATATTGTGATTATACTTTATTTACTTCTTTTTTTATTTTTGTTTTTTATTATATTATTCATTAATTTGTGTAATATTATAATACATCAACATACGTTATTTTTCTTCATTTTTTTTCTTTTTCTTTTTCTTTTTTTATTATTATTATTATTATTATTACGAAAAAGTATTTTCAATGTCGATCGAATCGTTTCGTAACACGCTATGCTGACTGGCTAAATACACCTGTTAAATGGAATAAATATGCGGTACGATGAAACGCGCGTACTGATTCTAATTACGAGACTTATTTATTAAACTTGTATGAATCTGAAAAGGGAAGAACAGAAAAAAAAAAAAAAAAAAAAAAAAAAATGGAGAGGAGAAATCGCATATTCCATATACAACGAAACAAAAATAAACACAACAAGAATGAAACTTTCTAGATAAGCTTCGTCCACGAGTAAATTAATTAATATCAATTATTCAAAGAAATCTGGAATAGAGAAGTAGAGAGTGTATCAAAGAACCTAGATTAGAATTTACAAGGGAAATTTAAAAAATAAAAATATCGTATAGAAAAAGAAAAAAAAAAAAAAAGAAACTTTCTTATATTGTTCGTCTCATAAATTTTCTTTTCTATTTCCTTTCAATCCTTTGGACAATCTCTCCGAGTAGAGATTAATAAGAGGAGGAGGATTTTCGTGAAAAGAAAGTCGACCGTTATTCACGAGCCAACCCAAAGTATCGCTTCCCGAAGTCCCCTTTTCTCCTGAAATCAGAGATAAAATTTTGGCCAACCAGTCAGCGACAGATCACAATTGGAGAGATCACAATTTTTAGAAATTTTTACAAGTCTCTTTATGCGTCGCCAGTTAACCTGAAACAACCTTTCCAATTGGAATCACAATTGAAAGAAAAATCGACGAAAGATTGGATGATATGTCGCGTAAAAGAGATTACGAAATTACATAACATTTGACAGAATATGAAACGTAGTAAATAATTTGAAGGAATTACGTATTTATTGAAATATTGAAATAAGTCAGTTTGAAAAAAATTAAAAATCTCGAAGATATAATTATTGCTTCTTTTTTTTTTTTCTTTTTTTTTTAATATTCTATATACACTAATATATTTCCATGCAATTATCACGATCGCTTATTTATCTTTTATATTTAACAATCTATTTCCTGTTTCTTGTGTTCCATTTATATTAGCATTATGATACGTGGATATTTTTCTTTGAATGTGTGAGTTTCTGTTCTGTCCTCGCTTAAGATTGAAAAACTGGTAAACGAATGAAAACGTGACGTTCACGGCAACACACCGATTGAATACAAATGTTCCAAGCAAGAGTTACGTGCTCCTTCGTTAAGGCTCTTTCCTTAGCACAGCTAACCTAACATTGTATCAATATGGCGGCGGATGGCCAACCTTCTGACTTAATATACCGACCTCAAATTCTCAATTCTTCGTGTGCAATATGACACGAAGTGTATTTACAAATTTATATATCGTTCGATAAACGGTATGCGAAATAAAATGTTCTTTTTCGATTGTAATTATCGTCGTCGAACACGGTATTAATGGTTATTAACGAGATTTAAATGAAATTTATAAATATTAAAACTTTAATTGTCGACTCGTTCTTCGATTTCCTTATATACATAATTTTTGAAAATGCCACAATGGTTATTTGGAAGCACAAATTTGTTAAGGAATAAAATAATAAAATATAATAAGTGCAAAAAGTGGAAAAAAGGAATTAGACGCAATAATATTTCAATTTAATAATAATTAAATAGGAAACAGTTTAAACTTGATAAATTAGATTCACAATATAACTATTGTTATAGATTTATAATGCTTCCATCATAGATATTCCTTGATATTACTTATTATTATAGCAATATCGGCTAATGCATTCAATTCGAATAATTGCATCATATTGTTTGTTGCATTTTCCATTATTTCATCAATCATTACGATTTTTTCTTTTTTCGAGGAAAATTTCATATTCAATGATTTCTTCTGTTAAATATATCAATATCGGTTTGTCACAGGGCAACGATAAAAATCGGACTTTACTCGTATCTATTACTCATATTTATATTTATATTTATATATATATATATATATTCATGAAAACGCGCATTAAAAGTAATTTACTCTTGACGTACAGGGTGTCCTCGGTTCAAAAGATAATAGATACGAATAATTATTTCGAGATTATTCTCGACTTTTTATCTCGACCACTTTGATTTTTTGATCAATTATGTTTTATGAAACACATAATATATAATTGATAATCGTCAATGAATAAGCATATATTTGCATATATCACATTGTTGATATATAAATATAAATTATACGTGCTTTTTTACGTGTTGATTATCTTAAGCAAGTTTTTATCGAGTTTTTACTTGCAGTTTCGAAAAAACTATTCTAATCTTGATCTTCATCGTTAGACGATTTCTCAGATGACGAAGAATCTCTGCTCCTGAGCTTGATATTTTCAGAATTATTTAAAGAGATCGATCAACATATTCCAAAAAGCCTTTAGCAAGATATCATCGAGGTGATAAATCCAACTCATTCATAATTAATTTATTCATTCAATCACCGTTAAAAGATAGCTTAAAATAACAATTTTAATAACAATTTTTTCTCAAACTCTATTCTTAATAACGCAATGAATATTCAACAAAACCATTATAAAACAAACTTTATATTTATATCTCGTGGAAAAAAAAGATCTCCATCCCAATCGAAACTAGAGAGGAAGAAAAATTCCAACCAACCAACGCGCCCTCCCCTTCCCCAAGAACGGACTCGCACGCGCTTAAAACCGGAGGAGATCGATCACGCACCCTGACCAACCCCAACGACAACGCTGATCCGCGATTCGAGCGGATCCAAGTTCAGCGTGAATTTTATTTATAAGTATCCCAGTCTCATCATCCGATAAACAAACATCCTCCTTTTCCTCCTTATAGAACCGTGGAGGAGGTTCGTCCCTCCCTCTCCCTCTCT